GTGTCCCGCTCGAGCTCCGCCTCCTTCCAATTGCCGAACTGGTGCAGGTAGCCGTCTATGTCGTACATGTAGGTACCCCCCCCCCCCGTCGGTATCCTCGGAGTCCAGGCCGTCGAACACCGTCGCGACCGACGGGGGGGAGTCAATCGCCCCTCTTGCCGCCATCTGCCTTGCCGCCAGCGTCTCGGCCGCCCGCTTCACCCAGCGCACGCTGCGTCCGAGCGCGGACGTTGGGAGGGGCCGCGAAGGGGACCTTCGGCTTGGCCTCAAGCTTCGCCGCAGGCGCTGCCCTTTGCGAAGGCCTTGCGGGGGCGCCGCCATCTGCTGCCGCGGCAGCTGACGCCCCTTGCGCAGGAGCAGCTGACGCCTCCCCTTGCGACGGCAGGAAGGCGTCGTGGTGATTCGCATCTGGGATGTGCTGGACTGGCTGCTCTCCGCGATCCACTCCAGTACTCGTGCCATCTTTTGCCTTATCATCAGCTGCCACTGGCGCAGGCTCGTCACCACGTCGGGCACGCTTGCGCGCCAGGCGCGTGAGGTGCGCAGCATGCTCCAACTTGATACTGTCCACCTTGTCCATCGCTGACTTGAACAGGCCACGCGTGACCGACTGCATCTGCTGCCTGAGTTGCTCCTTCCGCGACTCGATCTCGCGGGCGTCTTCGGCAGACACCTCGAACTCGTCGCCAACCTTGAAGAAACTATCGAAGTCGATGAGGCTGACCACGTCCTGCGTGCCATCGACGACATCCGCCAAGGAGACTTTGGCCTCCACTGGCTTGCCAGCTGCAGTGTGGCCTGGCTCCTTCTCCTTTGCCACGGTAGTCGCCAACTCAGACGCGATCTTCGCATGCTCCGCATCGGCCCCCTGCAAGGACTGTTCCAGTACACGCACGCACTTGGGCTGCGCGCCGGCCCACCCCTGGTACATCTCGAGCTTGTCAACCTCCGTCGCCAGCATCTCCTCGAGCTGCTGTTCTCTGTCGTGTGTCCGCTGAGCCCTCTCCTGCACCGTGAGTTCTGACCCGCGTCGCAACTCCTCAAGCTGAGCACGATGCTTGGCTGCCGTGTTCTTGCCCCCCAGCTTCTCCGCAAGCCCCGCGAAGTTCTCCAGCTCGTCGATCGTGGGCCCTGGCTTGCCACTGGCGTCATGCAGCGGCAACGCTGGCGGTTCCTGACCCCCGCCTTGGGCAGAGAGGGCCCGCCTGGCTGCACCTCGCGAGCCGCGCCGCTCATGACTCCCACCAGCAGGCTGAGGAAGAGCAAGAGCCGACACGTCAGTGGGAGCTTCCGTACGCCATTCATGGCAGTGTTTGCAGTACTCGTACTTGCCGAGGTTCCTCTTACAACCGCAGAGAGCACGCGTCCATCTCTGCTGTTGCCCACCCCCTTCGGAGTGCGCCGTATGCTGGAGGTGTCCATCTCGTGTGCGGGAAGGCTGGCGACGTGGAGATGCTGCTCGGGCCGAAGGCTTGCCCCCTCGTCCCGCTCCTCTACCACGGCCGCTCTTACCACCTTTCCCACCGCCATCCCCCCACTCGTCCCACGCGGCGGCGGCATCCCGGCGCCACGGGAAGTTCCGCCGATCCATCGCGCGAGAGGAAGAATGGCTGCACAGGTCTACGGTGCCGCCCGAAGGCGGGACACCAACAGTACACGGAATGAATATGGAAAGGATAGAATGAAAGCAGAGAGCCCCTGTCCAACAGGGCGTCTCCAGGGTCTCGCGCGCGCGGCGGGCAAGGCCACTTGAGACGGGGGTTCCCCGATATGGCCTTGAGCCAAAATGGCTACGGAGCTCCTCCTCCTCCTCCTCCTCCTCCTCCTCCTCCTCCTCCTCCTCCTCCTCCTCCTCCTCCCCTCCTCCTCCTCCTCCCCCCCCTCCTCCTCCTCCTCCTCCTCTTTCTCCTCTCCTCCTCCTCCTCCTCCTCCTCCTCTTCCTCTTCTTCCTCCCCCTCCTTCTCCTCCTCTTCCTTCTCCTCTTCCTCCTGTCTGTCTGTCTTCCCGGCTCTCTGAGCCGCGGCGCTTTGAGCTTCTTAGCTCGGGGACGCGTCGGCCACCGCCGCCCTCTCCCTTGTCGGTGGCCCTGACGAGGTTGGGGGAGAGGGTGCCGAAACGCGCCCAGAGTCCAGCAAGGCATGAGGGTGCAAACCCGACTTGTCTGGCTGATGCTCTGGGGGGGCCTGTGCTCAGGGGAGGCTGCAGCACCGCTCAACGATGTGCTGTTTAACCGAACCTGCAGGGTGGGCCCTTTCCCAAATCCGTGCTTCGGTGCGGATCGTAAGCGCGCCTCGTTTCCGTCGTCGTCGTCGTCGTCGGCGTCGTCGTGGTCGTGGTGCGTGTTGCTCTGCTCGGGATTCTGTTTCCCTTATGCAGTGACCACCTCCTCCTCCTCCTCCTCCTCCTCCTCCTCCTCCTCCTCCTCCTCCTCCTCCTCCTCCTCCTCCTCCTCCTCCCTCCTCCCTTTTGTCTTCCTTTCCCTCCTCCCTCCCCTCCTCCTCCCCCTCTCTTCTCCTCCTCTTCCTTCTCTTCTCCTTCCTCCCCTCCTCCTCCTCCTATCTCCCCTCCCCCTCCTCCTCCTCCTCCTCCTCCTCCTCCTCCTCCTCCTCCTCCATCTCTTGCGCCTCCATTCCTCCTCCTCTTCCTCTTCCTTCTCCTTTTATCCTCCTCCTCTCCTCCTCCTCCTCCCTTCTCTTCTCCTCCTTCTCCTTCTTCTTCTCCTCCTTCACTCTTCCCGTTTATAATTCTAGACGCTTCGCGTATCCCCACCAGCCCGTCCAGAAACGACGCCCAGGCGAGTAGAGGGTCGTCCTGAGGGGCTTTTCGGCGTCTTGGGTGCCTCGGGGGGGCCTCTGTGGGCCGTTCGGGATCCTCTTTGGGGCCTCCTGGGGGCCTCTTGGGGCCTCTTGGGGCCATCTCTGGGGCCTCTGGGAGCACCTTGGGTGCCTCTGGGGGGTCTCTTGGGGCCTCTTGGGGGTCTCTTGGGGGCCTCCTGGGGGCCTCTTGGGGGGCCTCTTGGGGTCATCTTGGGGCCATCCTGCGGCCTCTTGGGGCATCCTGGGGGCCTCTTGCGGCCATCGTGGAGGAAATCGATCAAAGAAGAGGGGTTCCTTAATTAGAGTCCCCCCCCCCCAGGAGCCACGATCCTCGTGAGGGGTGTCGAATTTTAGCCTTCCCAGGGGTCGATCTTGGGCGCTCCAGCGCGCCGCGGAACCCCCTGTCCAGGTCAGTGGGGAGGGGGTAGGGGGAGGGGTAAACCCCTCCCCGAAGGGGAAGAAGGAGGGGTGGAAGAGGAAACGCTCTAAACCACCGACGCCCAGAGGGCTGGTGGGACTAATTTCTGTTGTCGCACCCCAAGGCCAGTTTTAAGGGCGGGTTGTGCGTTTCGCATGGTATTTCCTCACCACTTATAACCTGAAGTTTATTAACGCGGGACAACAGCTTCACATATGGAGGGCGGGTCGTTTTCAAAGTGCGGTTCTCGCCTAGGCGCCGCGCACATTCGTTTTTAATGTTGCAAGAGTTTCACGGATTGAGGTCGGTTTCTTTTCGACATGTGGCTTTCGCCTTAGCGCCGCGCACATTCGTTTTAACAACTTGCCAGAGTTTCGCGGATTGAGGGCGGTTCCTTTTCAAAATGTTGGTCTCGCTTTAGCGCGGCGCACGTTCGTTTTAAACATTGCAAGAGTTTCACGGATTGAGGGCGGTTCCTTTTCAAAATGTGGTTCTTGCTTTAGCGCCGCGCACACTCGTGTTCAACCGTAGCAAGAATTTCACGCATTTCCCATGACCGACGCACCAGAAATGGTGTTTTGGACGGATTCCGGATTATGCGGGTGCAACAGTTATGCTGGCTCGCGCTGGTGAATTCCCACAAATGGCGTTCTGACACGATTCCGGATCGTCAAGGCGCAGCAGTCAGGTTGATCCGTGGCGTTGAAATCGCGAGAACAATGTTCTGGCATGCTTCAGGATCTTCAAACGGTTGTCTTCCAACGAGGCAGTTCCTTCAGTTGAAATGAACAGTTGTAGGGGCTTATGAAGAGGGAGCTTGGGGGGAGGGTCAATTTTAACATCGTTGATGACTCTTGGATTTACACTGGTCCTCCTCCTCCTCCTCCTCCCCCTCCTCCTCTTCCTCCTCCTCCTCCTCCTCCTCAGAGAGCCCCAAAACGGCTCAGCTTGCTCGCCTTTTCGGAGTCTCGACCGCTCAAGACGGCCTTAGGGGACTTCCTCCTCGGTCCCGGCCGTCCAGGAGGCCCTCAGGAGGGCCCCAAGACAGGCCAAGACGGCCCAGGAGGGCGCCAAGACAGCTCCAGATAGACCCAAGAATGCTCCAAGACGTCGCGAAGACGGCCCCCAGAAGGCCCCAACGAGGCCTCAAGAGCGACCAAGAGGGGCCCATGACCTCCAACATGCCTCTGAGGACTCCCAAGAGGCCCCCACGAGGCCCCAACGTGCCCCAGGAGCGCGAGACAGACTGGTTTCGGGGCGGCCCCTGAGCTCGGGGAGACGAGGAGGGCGATACTGAACGCACGGGCGGCGCGTTCCATTCTGTCGCGGCCCCCAGCTCGGGAGCTCGGGCGCTGCGGCCTGCGCACCCCCGCCGCGCACCGCGTCGAGCGGTGTCCGCGCCCGAGGGGGGCGGGCGCCGAGGCCTCCTCGGCACCCCGGCCGCGGACGCAACTCAGCACGCCGCCCTCGCGCTCGAGCTCGTCCTCCGGGCAGCGGCGAGCGTCGACCCAGGGCTCGTGACGCCCGTGGCCACCGGGCGTCCTCGCTTCTCGGCGAGATGTGGCAAGCGAGGAGGAGGAGGCGGAGGCGGAGGCGGAGGAGGAGGAGGAGGAGGAGGAGGAGGAGGAGGAGGAGGAGGAGGAGGAGGAGGAGGAGGAGGAGGAGGAGGCCCTGGTGTGAACGCGCCTGGCGGCACCACCCATTCCCCCCCGCAGGCGGGCGCAGTCCACGCGTCAGCCCGAGTCAGCTACGGCGCGGGGATCAGCGCGTGCGAGAAGGGGGAGCAGTGGCAGCATGCTCTGGCGTTGCTCGGCGAGATGTGTGCGGCAAGACTTGAGCCCGACATCAGCTGCTTCAATGCTGGGATCAGCGCGTGCGAGAAGGGCGAGCAGTGGCACCAGGCTTTGGCGCTACTCGGCCAGATGTGGGGGGCGAAGGTTGAGCCCGACGTCATCCGCTGATCATTGTTGCCTTCCAGCTCAAGATGGCTCAGAGAAGGGCCCCAGGCGCTGCGAAGTGGGCCCAAGAGGCTCACGCCTTCCCCGAGTGGGACGACGACTCCCCTTAGGACCGCTCACAGTTCGCCCGAGCTGGTCTCCAAGACGTTCCCACGCCTTCTCCGGAACGGCTTCAAGACGGCCCAAGACCGTCACAGGATGGCACCAATCTCTGGACGGCCTCCAGACTTCGAAATAGACTCATGAGGCCCACAGGGACCCAAACCAACATGACGCAGAGAGGCTTCAAGAGAGATGCTCAAGAGAGCCCAAGAAAGCCCCGAGGTATTCCCAAGAGGGCTCCAAGAGGGCATGGAATAGGACGAGTCAGCGATCGCAACAGGCAAGCAGCAGCGCCAGCAGCATAGCCAGCAGGAGCAGTAGCCTAGAGAGGCATCAGCAGCAGCACGCCCAATCTTGCCTGATACAGGTCTGGACATGCTAGCGACAGCAGTAAGCATGTGTCAGAGTCAGCAGCAGCAGTGGCAGAGCCAAGTATTAACAGCCAGGACAAGCACGCATCACGTAGCAACAGCAGCAAGCAGCAGTGCGTTGCATCAAGAATCCATATTGGCAAGCAGAAGCAAACAGCCTCGGTAACCAAGCAACACAGCAATCAGGAGCAGACAGCAGCAAGTACAGCACGTCCCAACCAGAAGCAAATTGTAGCAGCAAGCAGCGGCAACCAGCAGCCAGCCTCAGCAGCAGCAGCAGCAGCAGCAGCAGCAGCAGCAGCAGCAGCAGCAGCAGAAAGCACAATCAAACATCAGAAGAGATTGGAGGAGTCCTCCAGAGCCCTTCCAGGAGCCTTCTCGAGAGACCGATTCCAACGCCCAACCACCACATCAGCCGACTGCGTTGCACCATTGCGTGCCAAGAACCAGCCGCGCCGCCTTCGTAATTGACTGGCGTCGGTGTGACTTACCTCTGCTGAGCCATGCTAGACGAGCAAGTTGACCTGCAGATCCCACGCACGGGCACACACACACACACGAGCCTTTACCACAATGCCCAGAGCAGCGCTTGCGACAAGTGAAGACTAGCGACGGCAGGCGGCTCCGGCAGACTCCCAGGCGCTGGCGCTGGATCGCCTGGCGCCGCTCTCGTAGGGCACCAGGTCGACCGAGGGTTGGCTCCTCCCCAGATGGATAGGCTCAGGATTGGCTCAGGATCAGGATTGACCGGCGCCTCGATGGCTCTCAGAGCCCTCCGTACGGCCTCAGTCATCAGCTCCGACGCGCAAACATATAGTCAGATTCCTTCTTGTGCGGCTTCAGAGGGCCTCCGGCGGCATACCGTGCTCCCTACACGACAGGCCGCGCTGGCGTCCGAGATGCCTCCAAGACGGCCCAGCGCCACCTCGAGGTGGCGCCAGCGCACCCCTCGGAGCGCCCCCGGAAACTTCCCATCACGCAAACATGCCCCCCAAGGGGCGCCCAGGTGTCCCCTGGAGGCACGGGGGTGCCCCCAGGGGGGGTGGGGCGTCCGGGAGCCGCCTCCTCCGCCTCTGCCTCCCCCTCCTCCCCCTCCTCCTCCTCCTCCTCCTCCTCCTCCTCCTCCCTCCCCCTCCTCCTGCCTCCTCCTCCTCCTCCTCCTCCTCCTCCTCCTCCCCTCCTCCTCCTCCTCCCTCCTCCCTCCTCCTCCCTCCTCCTCCTTCTCCCCCTCCTCCCCTCCTCCTCCTCCTCCTCCTCCTCCTCCTATCCTCCCCTCCTACTCCTCCTCCCCTCCCCCTCCTCCTCCCCAGATGACAGTGGATTTTGGAAGGACTTCGCGGACGCCCGTGTCAGTGCCAAGTTAGACATGAGATATCACAAGTTCCTTCACCACCCTGGGAAGAGCATCATCACGATATTGTTGTTCAACTCGGACGGCATGGAGGTAGATTTCAGGGCCATGGAGATGTGGCCTATTGTGAAAGGAGGCTTTCGTAACCGTAGCAGCCCCCGCAAGCTGTAGGGGGCTCCCTGTGCGGCGCGGGCGCGAAGATATCCGCGCCTTGGGCGGGCTCTCCGCGGGCCCCTCGCCCGCTCCTGTGCTCGCACTGTTTGGGGCCCTCGTTCGTTTTCCCGAATAAGCCTATAGAGGCAGCAAAGCCAGAAACAGCAGCCAGGAGTAGTCAGCCAGCAGCAGTCGGCAATCAACGAGCAGTAGAGAGCGTCAACCATAATCATTCAGCAACGGTACCAGCAAGCAGCATCAACAGAAGCCAGCATCATCGCCAGCATCAGTGTCAGCAAAGGCAGCAAGAACAGCACCACGTATTTTAAAGCAACCAGCCGTTCCACTGCCAGTCCAAGAGGCCTTGTAGCACGTAGCAGGGATCGCAAGGGGCCCCAACCCCCCCCCACTGACACAGCCAGGAACACGCTAGGGCAGACCCCAAGGTGGCTCAAAGGATCGATGTGCTGTAACATCACTGATCCTCCTGCTTCTCCTCCTCCTCCTCCTCCTCCTCCTCCTCCTCCTCCTCCTCCTCCTCCCCCTCCCCACTTGGCCGAGCCATGTTAAATGAGCAAGCCGCCTCGGGACTCGCCCCACGGGCACACACACAATTCATTTCAGCTACAATGCAGGGATCAGCGCGTGCGGGAAGGGCAAGCAGTGGCAGCTGGCTCTGTCGCTGCTTAGAGAGATACGGGAGACGAAGCTTGAGCCAGACGCCGTCAGCTACAGCGCTGGCATCAGCGCGTGCGAGAAGGGCAAGCGGTGGCACCAGGCTTTGGTGCTGCTCAGCAAGATGCGGGCGGCAAAGCTGAAGCCTGATGTCATCTCCACTACCGTGCCGCGACCAGCGCGCGCGCGAAGGTGCGCGCTGGTGGTCGTGAGCCGGCCCCCCCCAGGCCGCTCTGGCCAGGCCCTGGGCGCCGCCATGGTGCCCTCGAGAGCGGCCCCTGCCGGTCCAAGACGGCCCCAGGCGGAACACAGCCCATGAGCCTCCCATGACGCCCTGAGACGACCCCAACCCCAAGAGTTCCCCCAGGACGGCCTCCAGAGACAGACTTCAAAGGCTTCATTTTTTTTTCAATATATATATAATACTTATTATTATTATTCTTACTATTGCTATTATTATTACTACTATTATTATTGTTGTTATTATTATTATTATTAATACTAATATTAATATCATTATTTTTAAATATTATTATTATTACTATTTTTTATTATTATTGATATTATTATTATTATTATTATTCTTATTACTACTATTATTATTCAAAATATGTTCGCGTTCTCGCCTCCTCGGGCCTCAGGCAGCCCACGACGGCCCCAGGGGCCTCCCAGACCTCCTCAAGATGGCCCGAGAGGTTCCCAAGTTGTCTCCTGGCTTCCCCTGGGCTACTCTGGCCGGGCCCACCGCCGTGGTGGCCCCCGGAGCGGCCCCAGATGGTCCCAGACGGCCCCAGGTGGCCCAGGTGCGCCTTGAGACCGCGCAAAACGGCTCCGACACAGCCCAAGAGCTTCTCTTGACGCTCTCAGACAGCCCCTGAGAGGCCCCCCAGACGGCCTCGAGAGGCACACATTGTTGTCGATTTCTCTAGGGTTCGTCGATGCTTTTCACGTTCTCGCCTGCTCTCGAGCAGTGGCGAAGCGTCCTGGCTTGTCTATTGGTCCACCAAAGAATGTTCTAAGAACCTTTTGTGGTCTGCACGACCGTTTCTTAGAACGTTTCTGGCTGAGACCATTGCGTTTTAACACATCGGGCTTATGTTCTAAGAACAGAGTGGTGGTTCTTCACACAGTCTTGGGTTCCAAGAAAATTTCGTGGTAGGCCTACAGGAATACTGGGACGGTCGGTCCCTGCGCAATTCTCGGGCTGCAGGCAGCCCACGACGGCCCGATGGGCCTCCCACCCAGGAGAGCCCCAAGAGGCCAAACTTGCCGAGTCCCTCTGGCAAGCGCATATTTTGGGCATTCTCGTGCTTCTCGCTTCCAACCCGTCCACGACGGCCACAGAGGCCCCCCAAGAACCCTAGGATGCCCCCGCGAGGACCCCAAGGCGGCCCAAGACGACCCCAGGACGGCCCAAGAGGCGCCCAGGACGGCCCAAGAGGTGCCCAAGACGGGCCCAGACGGCCCCAAGACAACCACCCGAGAGGCAACCAAGACGGCCCAAGAGGGCCCCCAGAGCCCCCAGACGCTCAAAGGGCCGCCCCGACGGCCCAAAGACGGTTCCCAGCCGCTCAAGAGGCCGCCTCGACGGTCCCATGAGCCCCCTAGGCAGGCCAGGAGGCTCCCAAGACGGCCCTGGAGGACCTCCCAGGAGAGCCCCAAGAGGTCAAAATTATCTCATTCCCATCGGGAAGCGTATATTTTGGGCATTCTCGTGCTTTCGTTTCCGACGCGTCCACGACGGCCATAGAGGCCCCCAAGATCGCCGTACGATGCCCCCGCGAGGGCCCCACGACGGCCCAAGACGACCCCAGGACGGCCCAAGATGCGCCCAACACGGCCCAAGAGGTGCCCAAGACGGGCCCAGACAGCCCCAAGACAACCACCCGAGAGGCAACCAAGACGGCCCAAGAGGGCCCCCAGAGCCCCCAGACGCTCGAGAGGCCGCCCCGAAGGCCCAAAGACGGCTCCGAGCCGCTCAGGAGGCCGCCTCGACGGCCCCAGAAGCCCCCTAGGCAGGCCAGGAGGCTCCCAAGACGGCCCTGGAGGACCTCCCAGGAGAGCCCCAAGAGGTCAAAATTATCTCATTCCCTTCGGGAAGCGCATATTTTGGGCATTCTCGTGCTTTCGTTTCCGACGCGTCCACGACGGCCATAGAGGCCCCCAAGATCGCCGTACGATGCCCCCGCGAGGGCCCCACGACGGCCCAAGACGACCCCAGGACGGCCCAAGATGCGCCCAACACGGCCCAAGGGGCGCCAAAGACGGGCCTAGACGGCCCAAGATAAGCACCCGAGAGGCAACCAAGACGGCCCAAGAAGGCGCCCAGAGCGGCCCAGAATCGGTCCCGCCGATTCTGGGCTGGCGAGTTAGTGGCCAGAAACGGGTAGGCCCGCCCCAGAGGCGCGAGAATCAGCACAGGGCGCGCTGGGCGGGATTTTTGGCTGGTGGCGCGGCGGCCCAGAATTGGTCCCGCCGATTCTGGGCTGGCGGGCCTGTGGCCCAGAATCGTCCTGGCCGAACCCGGAAGCGCGCGCGGCGGCCCCGGGGCGCGCCAGGCGGGATTCTGGACCGGCGGCGTGGCGGCCCAGAGTCGGCCCCGCCGATTCCAGACTGACGGGTCGGGGCCAAAATCGGCTGGGTGGCTCCAGAGGCGCGCATGGCCCTGGGAGCGAGGGGCAGGACTCTGGGACGGCGGGCCGCGGGGCGCCAAGAATCGGCACCGCCGACTGGGCCGGCGGGCCGGTGGCCCTGAATCGGGCCAGCCTAGCCTTGCAGCCCGTGGTCGCCGCCGCCGCCGCCGCCGTCGTCGTCGCCGTCGTCGTCATCGTCGCCGCCGTCGTCGTCGTCGCCGCCGCCGCCGCCGCCGTCGGTGTCGTTAGGGGCTCGTTGGGGGCTCCCAGACGGGCGAGCAGCGCTACCTGGCGCTCCCGCAGCTCAGCGATATGTGGCAGGCAAACATGGCGCCATTCATCCTGCTCGCCTTGCGGCAGCACCCCTTCACCCCGCAAGTGGACGTGGTCCGCGGGTCAGCCCTAGTCAGCTACAATGCTGGCATCAGCGCGTGCGAGAAAGGCGAGCAGTGGCAGCGGGCGCTGGCACTGTTTAGCGAGATGCGGGAGGCGAAGCTGGAGCCCAACGTCACCTATCCTGCAGTACCAGGAGCAGCCCGTCAATGGAGCCCAGGCAGTGGTAGGGCCAGTCGACCCCAGACCACCTGCCGCGGCATTAGGCGCGCCCAGCGCCCCAGACTGGCCAAGACGCCCCTGGACGGCGCCGATTGGGCCCCCCATATTTCCATGCCGCCCACATGGGGTCGAAGTAGATGGGTGGGTGGATCGCGCCGCATCGCCGATGCATCGATGATGCGGTTCGATGTGGAGTCCGATGTCCTCCACGCCGACGTCGCCGAGCACGAAGCAAACAGCAGCAGCAGCGGCAGTACGCAGCAACAGCAATCAGCAGCAGAGTGGACACCAGGACGCATCCATCATAACGACAAACGTCACCAACAGCACGCAACAGCGGCAGCAAGATTATGCGCGGAATGCGAAGTTCGAGTCCCACTTCATCATGGCAGGCTTTCGCGGCAGCATGTCCACAACCACATGCGAGGGTGCAGACTTCGTGGACGTAGTCCACGGGTCAGCCAAGGTCAGCTACAACGCTCTGATCAGCGCGTGCGAGAAGTGCGAGCAGTGGCAGCAGGCTTTGGTGTTGCTCTGCGACATGCGGGCGGCGGAACTTGAGCTGGACGTCATCAGCTGCAGCGCTGGCATCAGCGCGTGCGACAAGGGCGAGCAGTGGCAGCAGGCCCTGGAGCTGCTGAGCAACATGCGGCTGGCGAAACTGGAGCATAATGTAATCCCTGCTTCTTGTCTTGATTACGACAGAGGGCCCTCCCGATCGTTGGGGGCCCGAGAGGCGTCTGGAGCCTCCACGGCCCCCCGAGGAAGCCCTCGGATGCCTCCCAAGACGGCCCTGGGAGCCTCAGCGGACTCACGAGGGATCGTCGGGCCCCCTTCGCCGCGCCGACGGGGGCTCGATATGAGACCCCAGATGGCCCCGCGACGGCTCCAAGAGTTCTCTGGGATGGCTCGCCGAGGACCCCGACATGGACCCACGGGGCTCCGAGCGGGCCCACGAAGGTTCCAGGAGCCAATCGGGCCCAGCACGCCCCCAGGATGGCCGAGGGTGCCCCCGGCTGACTTCCGTACGGCCCCCGGGCGTTCCCAAGAGGGCCCGAGGCAGCCCCGACAGACTGCCCCAGGACTCCCTCATGCCGCCCGTGCACGTTCCCCAAACGACACTTGAGGGTTCTTAGCGACGCTCCCCAGAGTCCCAGGACGGCCTCCAAGTCAGGTCAGTCAAAAGGAGGGCCCGAAGAGGGCCTCAACAACGCGTGTCAAGCGGGTCCCAACATCACCCCTAGCGGAGACCACGTGCTTGGGCACCTGTTCTTCGAGCACATGCTCGAAGCATTTCCACCCCTTCGTCAGGAGATTTGTGGCGTACCCACTCGTCGGTTCTCCCTCCTCATTCCTTCTTGTCCGTTCGTTGACTCTATGTGTAATGAGCAGAATTCGAAGGGGATTGAATCAAGCGCCCTCGTACTTTAGCAGCCGGAGGGGCTTAACTGAAGCAGCTTCATGTTTCAGCTGCTTGCCCGAACCCAAACTGCTCGAGCGGACTTCCGACTTCCTGCTCCATGCTTCCGCCTGAGTGCTTCAGAGCGGCTCGTGCTCCTCGCTCCCGGCTCCTCGCTGGTCGCAGCTGGCTCTCAGCGAGCCTCGCTTCTCGCTCCCGGCCCTTCGTCATCGCGCCTCGCTCCTCGCCACTCCCGCCTTGCTCCGCAGCCCCCTGCTTCCCGCCCCCTGCCTCCCCGCCCCCTGCCTCACGGCGCCCTCCCCCTGCCAGCGCACGCCCCGACGGAGCCTCGCACCGCCCCCTTGCTCCTCAGATCCCCACGCTTCGTCCTCCCGCCCCCCCTCCCTCCTTCTCCTCGCCAACTGGGGCGAGGAGGAGGAGGAGAAGGAGGGGGAGGAGAAGGAGGAGGAGGAGGAGGAGGAGGAGGAGCAGGAGGAGGAGGAGCAGGAGGAGGAGGAGGACCAGTGCAAACCCAAGAATCATCAACGATTGTGGAATCGACCCTCGCTCCAAGCTCCCTCTTCATAGGCCCCATACAACGGTTCATCTCCACTGAGGGAACTGCCTTGTTGGAAGACAACCAACTTGAAGCATGCCAAAACATTGTTCTCGGGATCCCAAAGCCACGGGTCAACCTGACTGATGCGTCTTGACGATCCTGAATTGTCCCAGAAAGCGATTCCTGGGACTTTCAACACCGCGAATCGAATCAACGTAATTGCTGCACCCTCATAATCCTGCATCCTTTCCAAACCCAATTTCTGGCACGCTGATCATGGGAATCCGTGAAACTCTTTCCTTTTGTTTTAGAATGTGCGCGGCGCTAAGGCGAGAACGACATTTTGAAAAGGAATCGCCCTCAATCCGGGAAACTCTTACATTTTTCCCCGAATGCACGCAGCGCCAAGGCGAGAGCCACATGTTGGAAACGACCCGCCCTCAATCCGTGACACTCTTACAATTTTCTAAAACGAGTGTGCGCGGCGCGAAGGCAAGAACCACATGTTGAAAACGACCCGCCGTCCATCCGTGAAACTTGTTTTGCATTTTTCTAGGACGACTGTGCGCGACGCTGAGGCGAGAGCCACATTTTGAAAGGGAACCGCCCTCAATCCGTGAAACTCTTCCAAAGTTTCAAAATGAATGTGCGCTGCGCTAAGGCGAGAGCCACATTTTGAAAACGACCCGCCCTCCATCTGTGAAGCTGTTGTCACTTTTTTAGCTTCAGGGTCATAAGTGGTGAGGAAGTCTCAGGCGGAGCGTCCGGTTCGCCCAGAAAACTGGCTTCTGGGTGCGACAGGGAAAAGTTACTGCCAGTCCTGGGACTTCAACACCGTGAATCAACGTAACTGTTGCGACCTCATAATCCTGAATCTCTCCAAAACGCCATTTCTGGTACGTTGGCCATGGGAACCCGTGAAACTCTGGTGAATGCTTGAAACGATTGTGCGCGACGCTCAGGCGAGAGCCACATCTTGAAAATGAGCCGCTCTCAATCCGTGAAGCTATTGTGAATGTTTGAAACGATTGTGCGCGGCGCCAAGGCGAGAACCACATGTTGAAACCGACCCGCCCTCAATCCGTGAAACTGCTGCAACTTGTTAAAACGACTGTGCGCGGCGCCAAGGCGAGAACCACATGTTGAAAACGACCCGCCCTCGATCCGTGAAACTGTTGCAACTTGTTAAAACGAATGTGCACGGCGCTAAAACGAGAGCCACATGTTGAAAACGACCCGCCCTCAATCCCGGGAACTTTTGCACTTTTTTAGAAATGATTGTGTGCGGCGCGAAGGCGAGAGCCACATGTTGAGAACGACCCGCCCTCAATCTGTGATGATGCTGCCCATTTTTAGGCTTCAGTGTCATAAGTGGTGAGGAAGTCTCAGGCGAATCGCCCGTCCCGTCCTTTCGATTGACCTCGGGTTGCGACCAACAGAAGTTCTTTGTACGGAAAAGGAATGGAAGAAAAGGAGGAGGAAGAGGAGGAGGAGGAGGAGGAAGATTGCGAAGAGGAGGAGGAGGAGGACGCGGAACACGACGAAGAGTACAAGGAATACAAGAAGGAGCGCGGCGAGCAGGAGGAGGAGGAGGAGGAGGAGGAGGAGAAGGAGGAAGAGGAGGTGGAGGGGGAGGACGTTGACGACGACGTCGGCGATGACGAAATGCTCGACGACGACGCTGAAGGCGCAGTCGGATTAGGAACAGGAGGACGCGCGAACACTCTCAGGAGCTACGTTGGCCAGGCAATGCTGTTGAGGGATGCTGGACCGTGGCCAGGATTTTTGGGGGAGCTCCACGCCCGATCTGGCACGCGTCCGCGGGTGCAGCAAGAGCCCGCGCCATGGGAAGGAACGCGGGGGAGGGGCCGCTCCGGAGGAGGAGAGAGGAGAGAGGAGGAGGAGGAGGAGGAGGAGGAGGAGGACGAGGGAGGAGGAGGACGAGGAGGAGGAGGAGAGGGGAGGAGGGAGGAGGGAGGAGGGAGAGCAGGAGGGAGAAGTGTGCCCCCCCCCTTCTCCGCCCCCTCGCGCTCCTGCCTCGGCGGGGCCCTCGTGCCCTCGCGCCCCCCGCGCCTCGCCCGTCTCTCGCCCCCCGCGGCCCTCGCCCTGCGGCTCCCCGCGCCGCGGCCCCCCCCTCGCGTAATATCCCCCGCTCCTCGCTGCCCGCGCTCCCTTCGCCCGCACCCGCGGGGGGGCGAGCCAGGGGCTCGGCATCGCTCGGACGCGTTGGGTTTTTTTTCTCCTTCGGCGAGGACCATCGAGGAGCATCCTTGGTCATCTGGCGAAGGAGCCACGCGCGAGACCGAGAAACACACAGGGAGTGGGCGTCCGAGCGATGGCCAAGGGGGGGTGTGTGTGTGCCAGCCTCGAACCTGTTCCCTATCCCCAAGATTGACACGCCCAAAGGCGATGGCAATCGCGGTGCGGGTCCGCGGCGGTGCGAGCAAGGGGGGGGGTTACCAGCCTCGAACTTCTCCCTATCCCTAAGATTGACACGCCAAAAAGCGATGACAATCGCGGTGCGAGTCCTCGGCGGTGCAAGCAAGGGGGGTGTTTACCAGCCTCGAACCTATCCCTATCCCCAAGATTGACACGCCAAAAGGCGATGACAATTTTAGGGATTCGCCCTCAAAAAATAAGGGAATCCCTAAGATTGGCATCGTGATGAGGAGGTGCCCAGCATAGGGATAGGGATATGTTCCAGGCTGGTAAGGGGTGGGGTCGCGAGGGGGGCCGTCCATCACCACCCGCCAAACCACCCCAACCCAACCCGAAGGCTTCAATCTGCCCTCCATTTCCAGTGGGGGGGGGGTGCGGGGAACATTGAAAAAACACAGATGAAGCTCGGACCCCCCCCCAACCCGAAATTCGGGTCTTCGGGTTGGGTTGGGGTGGTCTGGTGGGTAGTCAGTCCATGTAAGAGGGCGAGCTGTTGCTCAGAAAGCTGGGGGACTTCTGAGACGGGCACGCTGTTGGTGGGCTTTGTTGTGATGAGACCACGGCACGCTGGCTTCTGCTCTTCCCGTTCCCCTTTGCCAGAGTTCCGCGGCCATCCTGCACGACAGGTGTCGTCTGCCAGAGGTGCATGTTTCGCACGAGTGCGCACTCGTCAGTTACAACGCCGGGATCAGCGCGTGCGGGAACTGCAAGCAGTGGCAGCGTGCTCTGGCGTTGCTCAGCGAGATGCGGGAGACGAAGCTGGAGCCCAACGCCATCAGCTACGGCACTGGGATCAGCGCGTGCGAGGCCAGCGGGCAGTGGGCCAATGCCCTGGATTTGCTGGAGTCGATGTTGGGAGCCCGCGTGGACCCTGCTGCTGAGAATAGCCCAGACGAGTGCTGGTACGTGCACAACTTCGAGGCAGGTGGCCCCAAGGACGTTTTGAAACACATCGTTCTTGTGGCGCTGCTGCAGCAAATGGCGGCAGTTGCAGATCCGTTCACCTTCATTGACATGCACGCTGCTTCCGGTGTTTACCACCTCTTCTCTGAGGAGGAGCTGTTCCGATGCCGCTTTTTTGAGGATGGCGTGCTCCGTCTGTCGCACGCACACGCAGCCGACTCCTTCGGCGAGGGCGTGGTTGCAGACTACCTGGCGTCGGTGTGGAGGTGCAACCAGGCCTTGGGTGCCTCTCCAGACGATCTGTGCCTCTACCCTGGGTCGCCTGCGCTGGCGTGGCAGTGGCTGAGGCCACAGGACAGCGCCCTCCTCTTCGAGGCCGCCGCCGCGCCTTACGAGGCCCTGAGGCGGAGCTTCGCCCTGCTCGACCCAGGGGCAGGTCGTCGTCTCACGCTGCTGCACGACGACTCCTACCTGCGGTGCATTCTGGGGCCCTGGCCTGGTTCCAGCGGGCGGCAGCTGGTGCTGATGGACCCGCCGTACGACTCCAGGCAGTCCCACGACACGTGGAACGTCTTCGTCCTCAGGCGCTTGCTCCAGACGTCGCCCTCCAGTTGCGTGGCCCTGTGGTACCCGCTGCCGGACCGAGAGACGGGCGCGAGTCTGCACAGCAAGGTCCGGAGCGTCGTCGCGGGCCGCGTGCTCGTGGCGGAGATGTGGTTCGAGAGCTCGGGACCGCGCGGAAGTGGTCTGCAGGGATCGGGCGTGCTGGTCATCAACCCGCCCTCCAGCGTCCACGCGCAGCTCCTTGCCGCTCTGCCAGGGGTCGGCGGGGCCCTGGGGGCCTCAGACTCCCGGGTGCTGTGGCTGTGAGGTCTCGTCGTCGTCGCCGTCGTTGCCCCGACACGTGGGATGTGCTGTGCGGCCAGGCCCCGATTTCCTGGCTCGGCTGAACGATGCAGAGTCCGCGCCGAAGCCGCCACCTCAGCTGCAGGGCTTCTGCGAGTACTGCCTCTACTATAGTTGCGAGGCAGGTTTCGGGGGCGTGGATGTGTCTGTCGTCGGCATTCTTGGAGTGCGATTGGGAACGACTGCCAGAGCAAGGGCTGTCCCGTGCTTCTTGAAATGTTTTCCATGAGTCTGGCTCGAGAAGTGCTCTGACAGGGGATTGGCAAGTCTTACCACGCAGTGGTTCGCAGCTGGAGCATCACCGTGTTGCAAGGACGAACATGCTGCAAGACACCACGGCTAGCGGAATCGAGCCCTGGCATGGTCTAGGACAATTACTTTAAAGAGCATGGCAGAACGCAGCCGTCAATGTTTTCCTTGTTTTGACAAGCTTTCAAAGCGTGGTTGCGTTTGCAGAGCTGGGCATGCACTGATGTGCACAAGCGGGACGCACCACAGGCTGCCGTCGTCGTCCTTGCAGCTCTAGGATCATCGAGTGCGAGAAGGACGAGCACTGGAAGCGGGTTCTGATGGTTCTCAGCGACATGCAGGAGGCGAAACTGGAGCCCAACGTCACAAACTACACGGCTTGGACCAGCGCGTCCGAGAGGGCCGAAGCATGGCAGCAAGATGAAGTGGTGCTCAGTGAGATGTGGGAGGAGGAGGGGGAGGAGGACGAGGAGGAGGGAGGAGGGGAGGAGGAGGAGGGGGAGGAGGAAGGAGGAGGAGGAGAGGAGGAAGAGGATGAGGATGAGGAGGAGGAGGAGGAGGAGGAGGAGGAGGAGGAGGAGGAGGGAGGGAGGAGGAGGAGGAGGAGAGGAGGAGGAGGAGGCGGAGCAGGAGCAGCAGGAGGAGGAGGAGGAGGAGGAGGAAGAGGAGGAGGGAGGAGGCGGGGGAGGGAAGAAGGGGGGGAGGGAGGGCGGGAGGGAGGGGGGGGGAGGAGGAAGAGGAGGAGGAGGAGGAGGAAGAGGAGGAGGAAGAGGAGGAGGAGGAGGAGGAAGAGGAATACTTATAATATCAATAATAATAATGATGATGATGATAATAATAATACTAATACTAATAATAATAAGACGAATAAGAAGAAGACGAATACTAATAATAAGCAGACTAATAATACGAATAACTACTACTAATAATAATACTAAGAATGAGAATAATAATAGGCATACTACGCATCATACGCATACGAATCTTACTAATCAGAATACTAAGAATAATAATACCAACATAAGACGAATAACACTACTGGTGCCAATAAGAAAAACACTAATAATAATACAAATAATAAGAATACGACGAAGACGAACAGTGAGACGAATACGAATACGACGACGACGAAGAATACGATTACGAATAAGAAGACTAATACGAAGACGCATACTAATACTAACAAGAAGAAGACGAACACGACGAATAATACGAATAAGACGACGGATACTACTACGATAATAATAAGACTACTACGACGCAGCATACGAATACTAATACTACTAATGCTACTACTACTAATAAGAAGAATATGAAGCCGACGACGAAGACTAATAATACGCATGCGACGATGACGCCGACACATAATACTAATAATGCGAATACGAATAATACTAAGACTAATACGAATACTGATACGAATAATAATGATACTACTAATAATACTAAGAATACGCCTGCCAATAATACTATTAATAATAAGAATAATAATGCCAAGACTAAGAATAAGAATAAGACGACGAATAAGAAGACGACTACTAATACTACTAATACTAAGACTACGCATAATAAGACAAATACTAAGCATACGAAGACGAAGACTAATACGAAGGAGACGACGACGAATACTACGAAGACGAACAGTAATAAGACGACGAAGATGATCAGGCGGAGGAGGAGGAGGAGGAGGAGGCGAGGGAGGAGGAGGAGGAGGAGGCGGAGGAGGAGGAGGAGGAGGAGGACGACGAGGACGACGAGGAGGGCGACGACGAAGACGACGACGACTAGGACGACGACGACAACGACGAGGAGGACGAGCATGACGACGACAATGATGAGGACGAGGACGAGGTCGACGACGACTACGATGGGAGGACGAGGATGACGACGAGGACGACGACGACGCCGACGAGGACGAGGACGCGGGCGACGACGACGGCGACGACGATAACGTCGACGAGGACGACGACGCGGACGAGCACGACGACAACGACGACGACGAGGACGAGGACGAGGACGACGACGACGAGGACGAGGAAGACAACGACGAAGACGACGACGACGAGGACGACGACGCCGACGACGAGAAGACGACGACGATGACGACGAAGACGACGACGTGCGCGACGACGAGGACGACGACGACGAGGACGACGACGACGACCACGACGGCGACGAGGACGACGACGATGCCGATGACGACGACGCCGACGACGACTACGAGGACGACGGCGATGATGACGACGACGAGGTGGATGATGACAACGATGGCGACGACGAGGACGACGACGACGAGGACGACGACGACGACGAGGACGACGTGACGACGAGGACGAGGACGACGATGATCACAAGGAGGATGCCGACGACGACAAGGAGTATGACGACGACGACCAGGACAACGCCTTCGAGGACGGCGACGACGACGAGGACGACGACGCGGACGAGCACGACGACAACGACGACGACGAGGACGACGACGACGACGAGGACGACGAGGACGACGACGAGGACGAGCATATCGGCGACGACGATGGCGACGACGGCAACCGACGACGACGACGAGGACGACGACGGCGGCGACCGACGACGACGACGACAACGAAGGGCGACGACGAGGACGGCGCCGAGGACGACGACGACGACGACCGACGACGACGACGAGGACGAGGAAGACGACGACGACGATGACCACGACGAGGACGAGGACGAGAACCACGAGGACGACGTCGACGACGACGACGACGAGGACGAGGACGACGAGGACGAGGAGGACGACGACGAGGATGACGATGACACCGACGACGGCGACGACGAGGACGAGGAGGACGACGGCGGCGACAGCGACGACGAGTACGAGGCCGACGACTAAGGCAGGTCGCCGCCACCGTCGGCGTCGTCGTTGTCGTCGGTCGTCGGGGAAAACGAGGACGGGGAGGACGGGGACGGGGACATTGCAGGACGAGGAGGAGGAGGAAGAGGAGGAGGAGGAAGAGGAGGAGGAGGAGGAGGAGTATGAGGAGGAGGAGCGGCGGAGGATGAGGAGGAGCGGCGGAGGATGAGGAAGAGGAGGAGGAGGAGGAAGAGGAGGAGGAGAGAGGGAGGAAGAGGAGGAGGAGGAGGAGGAGGAGGAGGAGGAGGAGGAGGAGGAGGAGGAGGAGGAGGAGGGGGAGGGGGAGGATCGGCCGTCTCGTTGGTCGTCGGTCGTCGGTCGTCGGTGTCCTCGGCGTCGTTGTCGCCGTCGTCGTCGTTGTCGTCGTCGTCGTTGTTGTCCTCGTCGTCGTCGTGATCGTCGTCGTCATCATCGTCGGCGTTGGTCGTCGTCGGTCGTCGTCTTCGTCGTCGGTGTCGTCGGTGTCTTCGGTGTCGTCGTCGTCGTCGTCGTCGTCCTCGTCCTCGTCGGCGTCGGTGTCGTCGTCGTTGTCCTCGTCGTTGTCCTCGTCGTCGTCGTGGTTGTCGTCGTCGTTGTTGTCGTCGGTCGTCGTCGTCGTCGTCCTCGTTGTCGTCGTCGTCGTCGTCGTCGTCGTCGTCGTCGTCCTCGTCGTCGTCGTTGTTGTCATCGCGTGAGGAGGTGGTGGGTGGAGGAATGAGCACACGGAATAGAAGCCAGAGGGTGGCGATGATGGGGGAGGGGGAGGGGTGGACGCAGGGGACAGTAAGAGGAAGGAGGATTTAGTGAAGAAGGGTTGATCAGGAGGAGGGCGGGGGATGGAGGACTGGGAGAAGGAG